CCCTCTCATCTTGACTGCCAGAGAGCAAAAGCGCTGACCAGATGGCAAGGGAGAAAGCATCCCCACAATGAGGCATGGTCATACTCTAATCCATTCTCCTCCATTTCTTCATCCTGTTGGATCTTGAGGCGAGCACATGCACGCACACATGCTTGGCGTTTTTCAACTAACCAGGGCTGAAATTTGAACCATGGTCAGCTATGTGGGATCTGGCTCCCTTAACCATTACTTAGGTCATAGGGCAGCCCTCTCCGTTTTTTTTTTTTAATTGCCAGAGGGCACATGTGCTAACCAGAGAGAGAGAGAACTCCCCAATGAGGCACCGCATGCCACAACCCTTTCTTTTCTCCATCCAGTCAGAATTTGGAGCGTGCACGCACGCACATCTGCTGGGTTTTTCAAGCCCCCAGGGCACCAACTGTGGTTGGCTATGTAGGAGCTGGCTCTCTACCCACAGTATGTAATGACTGCTCTACTGGTGGGCTCTCTGGTAGTCTCTTGTACTGTCCCTGCCTGTCCTCCATCAGGTTTTGTCATCTCCCAGCAAGAAACAAAAGCTATTGCATGTCAGGTCTTCTACCAACCACTTTTCTGTGTTGCATCATTTTATCCTGCTACAACCTTCTGAGGTAGCTAGGTACTGCTATTCATAGCTTATGGGTGCTCAAAAGAGTTAGGAATTTGACTAAGATGATTCAGCATGTGAGCAGGTGCACCAGTTTTCACATAGACAGGAAAGTATTAAAACCTAAGGAGCTCATCTGTGCAAGGAGCGCACCCAGCTCCAAAACAGACCCAAGGGGAACTTTGATAAGAGGAAGGTATGTTACCAAGCCGTTGGGCCAGGCCACAGAAGGCTGGCTAAAATCTGTCTCCTCAGATGCAGTGTCAGTATTTATGGGTTTGCTGTTAGCACAGGAGGAGAAAGGGCACTTTCGGATTGGCTCTTGGACCAATCCAGTGAAGAAGTTGGATTCCAGGTGGATGCACTGAAGAGTCTACATACGTCTTCATACTTCACATGTTTAGACAATGAAGCCTCAGCAGGTAAGTGGAGGTTTTCTAAGCTCGTAGGTGACATGGATAACGTAAGTAATACAGAGATACCTAGAAGCCATTCTCTGTTCTATTGCTTTTATCTGTAATATAACTTCCTGTGGCTTCCATTACCACACATGCCATAGATGGATGACTGATTTCAGTAATTACAGAATTTGTTTCCCAGCCGGGCCAAAAACTCATTTTATTAAGCTCTAACCTGCATGTAGTCCTGAGCAAATATGTCTTAAGACAGTCAATCATATTGTTTATGTTCACGTCTTTGCCAGTGCATTTCTAAAGGTCTCCCAGTTGGCTTCATTACTGACCCTCCTTAAAATTCTTTCCCTCTCATCTTGACTGCCAGAGAGCAAAAGCGCTGACCAGATGGCAAGGGAGAAAGCATCCCCACAATGAGGCATGGTCATACTCTAATCCATTCTCCTCCATTTCTTCATCCTGTTGGATCTTGAGGCGAGCACATGCACGCACACATGCTTGGCGTTTTTCAACTAACCAGGGCTGAAATTTGAACCATGGTCAGCTATGTGGGATCTGGCTCCCTTAACCATTACTTAGGTCATAGGGCAGCCCTCTCCGTTTTTTTTTTTTAATTGCCAGAGGGCACATGTGCTAACCAGAGAGAGAGAGAACTCCCCAATGAGGCACCGCATGCCACAACCCTTTCTTTTCTCCATCCAGTCAGAATTTGGAGCGTGCACGCACGCACATCTGCTGGGTTTTTCAAGCCCCCAGGGCACCAACTGTGGTTGGCTATGTAGGAGCTGGCTCTCTACCCACAGTATGTAATGACTGCTCTACTGGTGGGCTCTCTGGTAGTCTCTTGTACTGTCCCTGCCTGTCCTCCATCAGGTTTTGTCATCTCCCAGCAAGAAACAAAAGCTATTGCATGTCAGGTCTTCTACCAACCACTTTTCTGTGTTGCATCATTTTATCCTGCTACAACCTTCTGAGGTAGCTAGGTACTGCTATTCATAGCTTATGGGTGCTCAAAAGAGTTAGGAATTTGACTAAGATGATTCAGCATGTGAGCAGGTGCACCAGTTTTCACATAGACAGGAAAGTATTAAAACCTAAGGAGCTCATCTGTGCAAGGAGCGCACCCAGCTCCAAAACAGACCCAAGGGGAACTTTGATAAGAGGAAGGTATGTTACCAAGCCGTTGGGCCAGGCCACAGAAGGCTGGCTAAAATCTGTCTCCTCAGATGCAGTGTCAGTATTTATGGGTTTGCTGTTAGCACAGGAGGAGAAAGGGCACTTTCGGATTGGCTCTTGGACCAATCCAGTGAAGAAGTTGGATTCCAGGTGGATGCACTGAAGAGTCTACATACGTCTTCATACTTCACATGTTTAGACAATGAAGCCTCAGCAGGTAAGTGGAGGTTTTCTAAGCTCGTAGGTGACAGTTTTTTCAGGTGACTGCTAAGGGTGTGCCAGGCAGGCTCCACAACACCATCTTGGCTTTTTCCAGTCCTTGCCAGTTCCCACTGGTTTCTCGACAGCTGTCTGTAAGACAACACTAGTAACGTTGTAAGTAAATTTGTTAAGTGAACAGTATCAAAAGCACTCAGCAATTTGGACAAGGGAAGTTTAAAAAGTAGTAATCATAACAGGATTCTCTATAAGGAGAATTCTACCCTACTTCAGGGCTAAAGGAAAATACCCAAGGAAGAAACAACTCAGAAGAAGGCCCCCCTCCCCAAGACTGGACTCAGGATCTTTTTGGAAAGGATGTAGCAGGGCCACGTGACGAAGGGGCAGTCATTGATTGGCCCTGTGCCAGAGCAGTTGTAGTTATAGAACCAGAGGAGCTGGCCCTCAGGACTGGCCAATGGGGAACACCTGTGTGCGGGTGTTAGCGGGCAGGCACTAAACAGCAGAACTCAGGGGCACCTGGGTGACCCTCTGGCCATCTGCACTTAATGGGGGGGTGCAGGTGCTACAGCATGGCCTGCACACCTGCCGCTGGCAGCAGCATAAACCCAGTCGTTGGGGAACCGAGTCACTGGGGAAAGACGCCACTTGTCTAGCTGTGTTCCTCCCGCGCCGTTTCCCGACAGAGCTTAACTTCGTGAATGTTCCAGAGTCCAGCTCCGTTCGGCTCAGAGGTAATAAATTCGTTCCTGGCCCAGCAGGGGAGAGTGAATTAGCCCTCTGACAGCCAGAACACGGAACCTATGATTCTAACCATGAAGCTTCAATGGACAACTACTGGCGTGAGGTCAGCCGAGGGTAGGAAGCATTAAAGAATCTGAGGAGTGTGAGCAATGCATGGAGTAGAATCTACACCCACGGTGTAAAAGCCGCGTGCAAAGGAAGCGAGGACAATACTCCATGGCTGAGCTGTTAGGAGTTGGAGCAGCACATCGGAGGAGTGAGGAGAGGGGCGCGCCTCAGGAGGGAGGACAACACGGCTACCCTTTGTCCCAAGTTGGAGACCTCGTGGTGGTCCATATGAGGGGTTTGCAGGACCTGGTGACCACCGTGCCTCGGAGTTCTTCGCTAACCCCCCAGGGGGGCACACTGAGGCTGGGGGGAGCGGGGAGGGGGACAAGCTGGGGACAGGGTGTGTGGGCGCGCGCAGGCCAGACCGGGCAGCTCCTGTCTGCTCCCCCCGCGCGCCCGGGGCCCCTCCCTCCGCCCTGCCAAGCTCGAGGCTCCGGTCGGCGCCTTTGGTTGGTCCCCACCAGCGAGGGCGC